AGACAAGCACTTCAGAAGTCAAAAATCTCAACTTCACCAAACGACTTTATTTTTGATACTGCTTTGACCAACATGTTTATTTCAGTGAGATATGCACTTCAGAAGTCAAAAATCTCAACTGCACCGAGTTAGTAAATTTTTGATGCTGTATTCACTAACATGCTTATTTCAGAAAGACATGCACTTCAGAAGTCAAAAATCTCAACTTAACAAAACGATAACTTCTGATGCTGGTTTGACTAACATGCTTCCTTCAGTGAGACAAGCACTTCAGAAGTCAAAAATCTCAACTTCACCAAACGACACACCTTTGGATGCTGGTTTGACTAACATGTTTATTTAAGTGAGATAAGCACTTCAGAATTCAAAAACTTCAACATCACCAAATGACTGAATTTTTGATGCTGTTTACACTAAAATGGTCACCTCTGCGATATAAGAACTTCAGAAGGCAAAAATCACAACTACACCAAATGAGTTAACTTTTGATGCTCGTTTGAATAACATGCTTATTTATGTGTGATAGCAGATCAGAAGACTAAAATCTGAACTTCAACAAAAGACTCACCATTTGAGGCTGTATGGACTACAATGCTTTTTTCAGCGAGTTAAGCACTTCTGAAGACTAAGATGTAAACTTCACCAAATGCCTCAATTTTCTGAAGTTGGTTTTGATTAACATGTTTATTTCAGTTAAAAAAGCACTTCTGAAGACCAAAATCACCACATCACCAAGTGACTTTGTTTTTGATGCTGTTTTGACTCACATGCTTATCCCAGTGAGATAAAGCACTTCAGAACTCAAAAATCTCAACTTCACGAAACGACTTAACCTTGAATGCTTGTTTGACTAACATGCTTATTGCAGTCAGGAAAGCATTTCAGAAGGCAAAAGTCAAAACTTCACCGAATGACTAAATTTAGATGCTTAATTGAATAACATGTTTATTTCAGTGAGATAAGCACTTCAGAACTCAAAAATCTCTATATTTTGGAACTGTGACCCCTGGCTCCACATCCCCACTAGAAAAAAAATCATCCTTTCACCATCCACCCTCCCAGATGTGCTCAGAATCTTAGATGTTTCAATAAGACCACTGATTTCTTCTAAACTCCAATGAGTGCAGCTCAACCCTTCCTTGTAAAATAAAACCCCTTTTACCCTTTGCTCTGAGGAAGGGTCACTTGACCTGAAACGTTAATGTGATTTCTCTCCACAGATGCTGCCAGACATGCTGAGCTTTTCCAGCAAATTTCTGTTTTTGTTCCCTTTATCCAAACAAATCAGTCCAGCAAATCTTCACTGAATTGCTTCCAATGCAAGTACATTGTTCCTTCAAAATTGACGCTAAAATCATATCCTACACCAGGTACCACTGTAGCACGATTTTGTTTTTTTATACTCCATCCTCTTTCCAATAAAGGCTAATGTTCCATTGCCTTCACAATTACTTGCTGTAACTCGATGCTCACTTTTGTGATTCATATATGATTCTGATCCCTCTGTAATGCAGCATTCTACACTCTCTCCCATTTAAATAATATTTAGCTTTTCTATTCTTCTATTGAAGTGGACAACCTCACATTTTCCCACATTATACTCTGTAATTTTACCTATCTATATCTCTTTAAATCCTTCTACCCTTCTCAGACCTTGCTTTCCTACCTATCCTTATATCATCAGTAAATCTAACTACAATACAGACTGACCCTTCATTCAAGTGATTAATAGTGATTACAAATAGTTGAAGCCTCAGCAGTAGTTCTGTGTTACCTGACTAGATGATAGTTCACCAATCTGAAAATGACCTTTTATCCTGACTCTTGTTTCTTGTTTGTCAGGCAATCCTTTTTTTTTTATTATTCATTCACAGGACTGGGGGAGTCACATGCACAGCCAGAATTTATCGCCCATCCCTAATTGAGTTAAATGTCAACCACATTGCTGTGGGTCTGGAGTCACATGTAGGCCAGATAAGGATGGCAATTAGTAAACCAGATGGTCTTTTTCCCAACGATTGACAATGGATTCATGGTTGTCATTAGACTCTGAATTCCAGGTTTGTATTGAATTCAAATTCCCCTATCTGTCATGGTGGGATTTGAACCCAGGTCCCCAGAACATTACCTAGGTCATAGAATCCTTACAGTGTGGAAGCAGGCCATTCAGCCAATCAAGTTCACACTGACCCTCCAAAGAGCATCCCACTCAGATCCAGCCCATCCTCTCCCTGTAACCCTCCATTTCCCATAGCGAATCCACCCAGGATGCACATCCCTGGACAGTATGGAATAATTTAGCATGGCCAATCCACCTAAACTTCACATCTTTGGACTGTGGGAGGAAAGCGGAGCACCCAGAGGGGACCCATGCAGACATGAGGAAAATGTGCAAACTCAACACAGAGAAGTCGCCCAAGGATGGAACTGAACTTTGGTCCTTGGCACTGTGAGGGAGCAGTGCTAACCACTGAGCCACCATGATGGATTAATACCGGGTCAATGGATTAACTGTCCAGTGATAATACCACTACGCTGTCACCTCCCTCTATCCATGCTAACATATCACCCCAGCATTTTATACATCCAAATATTGTTCCCACCTTCTTTACTTGTGACATTCACCAAGAATTGTAATAAACCTGCCAGTTTTCTTTTTACAAAAACATGTTGGCTCTGCCTGATTGCATTATGATGTTCTAATTGACCTGCTACTTTGGGAATTCTTGCAATTTCCCAACCTTAGACAATAGCTTCCTGCATTTTGGCTCCGCCCTTTCTTGAATAATGGTGTTATACACTCTGAACTCGACATTTAACTATTGTTAGTGATATAAACCATTCCCAGCAGTGATGTTTTTCCTTTATCACTTAACTCTAGCCAAACTGATTTTATATTTTGGGTTGGGAAAGTGAGGGAAGATGCTGGAATTGTTGGAGGGTACGTGTTTTGATTGAGAGGAGATATGCTGAGTTTCTTATTGTGCTGAGTGGCTTAAGTTCCATTGTATAAGTTGCACTGGATATTTCTGTTGGTACTGTGGAGCCTTGCTATTTCTGCATTGAAACTGACATAGTCTATATTGTAGGCAATGTGATGGTTGGTGTTAGGCAAGATGTGAGAATGTATTGGGATGCCTTGCTGGGATGTGCTAGTTGGTGGGGGCCTGCTAGAATTTCCTGCTGGGAAGTGATGTCAGCCAGTGAGGATTTGTTGGGATTTACTGTTGGGGGACTGAGGTGGGGGAGATATTACCTGGTGGGTGTGGGTGTGCAGGATATGCTATGCCATGCAGAATGCCATGGTTTCTCAAATGCGATTGTGAGGGTATGTGTGAAATTTACCACAGCGATGTGCTGGAATCCCTAGTGTCATGTCCTGGGCTCTGTACACTGCACCAGTATACATTGTTTTGAATGGGATATGCTTGATTCTCTCCTGGGATTTCTCTCCAGGGAAATGTTAGGCTCTATGGGATCTGCTGGATTCTTTCCTTAATGTACTGGGTTTCCCTCCTGGCATGTGTTGAGTTGAACAATGACTGGCTGGATTTTCCCTTGGGATCTTCTGGGTGTGCTGGGATTCCTTTCTGGGATTTATCAGACAGTGAGTATATGCTTGGGTTCTCTCCTGAGATATATTGGAATCTTCAGGATTTTCTCCTTGGTTGCGCTGGGATTCCTTGCTGGAAAGGGACTGCATGGGAATGTGCTGGGCTCTCTGCTGGAATGTGGTGGAGTGAACAGGATGGGCCAGGATTTGCCCCCGTTATGCACGAGGCAGTGAGGATCTGCTGAATTTCCCTAATGATAAGTGTTGGCATGAGCGGGATCTGCTGGATTTCCTGCTGGGATGTGGAGTGAATGGGATAAGTTGCATTTCCCACTGGGGTGTGGAGTGAATGGAATCTGCTGGATTCTCCAATGGATGTGCTGGAATGAATGGAATCTGTTGGATTCTCCAATGGATGTGCTGGAATGAATGGAATCTGTTGGATTCCCCACTGGGTGTGCTGGAGTGAATGGAATCTGCTGGATTC